TTCTGGATGCTGCCAAAGCCTAGTATAGTCAAAAACCTCCTGGGCAGCAGTTAGGATACTCTATTCTTCACGCAACCCTAGAGTCTCCACACTGCTATCTAGATTATCACCAATATCCCCTATCCTGTCTTAAAAACTTTCCTGTTGATAGTGGGAAACTGCATCGACACACATTTGTAAGATTCTCACCAAAGGAAAAAATATATATATATATATACATATAGAGAGAGAGAGACATGTATATGCATGGAGCACAGTTCTCTGACATCTTCCCCTGCCACCCAGCATCACCCACTCAGCCTTTCTTCCTACCTTTAAAGCCTTGTTCGGTTTGGGATTAGTCGTCATAACCTGAGCACAGTCTTCTGGACAAAACTGCTCAGAAATTGCAACTGAAAAACAACACAAAACAAAAAACATTTTCAGGTTATAATAAATTCAGAGATAACAGTAGGAGAAAAAAAAAAAAGAAAAAAGAGGATACTAACACCCAGTCCAAAACTTCAACTGTAAAGGATTCCGAGATTAGTTTACACGGGAGGAGAAATTTGCATTGACAACAAGTGCCTTGCTTCTTAATGCTAAGTAGCTAATATTTTGCCATACGTTCACCAGGATCAAGCAAGGAAGACAGGGCTGGGGAGGAGGAGAGGCTACCTGCTCGTGCCTGTAAACAGCAGTTACGCTAATAACCACACACTGCCTTGCGAGCAGCCACCTCTGCTCAAGGGGAGAGCAGAGCTCGGCCTTCCAGGCCCCATCGCTTCTTCACCTCCCTCTGCAGGAATCCCAGACGCACGGAATGGCCTATTAGGGGCTGAATTAAGAGTTACCTCTGCTCATAAAAGGCATCGAAAAGCCACAAGACAACAACTCCCTTCATTCTTATTTTGATCATTACTAACCTAGCTTAAAATTGAATCAGCAACCCAGAAATAAGCTGCCTAGTTTGTAACCTGCTTTCAGAGCTGTCCCCACCCAAGAGAGACGCTACTAGAAAATCCAAACGGCAGAGGCGAAAGCCCCTGGATAACAAAGCAAAGCAGCGTCCGCCTCTCCCCGCACACCAGGGCTGCTGCTTCGCGATGCTCTGTGCCCCGGGCTGAGCGCTGACCTGCCTGATATTTCTCGTGACGCGGGAGCACGTCCACCGACACCGCGGGTCCTCCGTCGCGACGCTGCCCTTCACTCTCACCTCGGCTGGGACCAGCGCTCTGGAGAAACCCACCAGCCTGGAAGCATCCGATGCCCTCGGCCCGCAGAAGCACCACGGACGAGCCCGGAGGCAGCGCCACCCGTCAGTATCTACCCTGGGAGGCGGCAGCGCCCGTGACACCATCACAGCCGCCGCTCACCGCGCGCCCGGCATCGTGGCTGCCCTGCGCGGAGGGCCTCGAGGAGCCAGCAGCAACGCGGAGCGCCCGGCGGGAGCCCTGTCCCCCCGGCCCACCCCGAGCCCTCCCCGTTCCCACGTCTGCGTCGTGTCACACATTCTAATCATTCATGAAAAACCCAGCCCAAGCATCCCAAGCATGATTCCCTTCCGATAGTTGCCATGGTGACCTTGGGAAAGTAGCCAACCCCGAGACAGTCACCATGGAAACAGAGAAGCCCAAAAGCAATAATGACTTCAGGTCATGTCTGTGCAAAGACATCACGAGGTCGTCGCAGAGTAAACAAACTCATTCATAGCTGCAAACAAGGGGTGAAGGGACTTGGTGGGGTACAAAGGTGGGCTGGGGGAACAAAGCAGCCCTGGGGAGAGAGGTGCTGGCTCAGGCAGCGCTGCTCCCGCTTGGATTTTATCAATCAAGACACCTCGCTCTCATATGACTTGCAGAAAAATCAAGATAAGGATGAGAGGAAAAAGAAGAAGAAGAAAAAAACAAAAACACAACAAATGCTGTAAATGCAAAGCTGCAAGATACTATCCTAGATATTAGGGTGTGTGTTCATGCGCCTCCTCTATTTTTAAGCCTGAGACGGCACAGCCTTCCATGTCTGCGGGAGGAGGGACAAGGACGGGCGCACGGCGCCCCAGCCACGATGCTCCGTGATGAATGGGCCGCGCGCAGCAACTGGTGTGCGCCGCGCGTCCCGGAGCGTCGCAGGGCTCCTCGCTCCGCATCCAGCCTCCGCCAGCGGGACGGGCGCAGGGAAAGGGGAGAGCCGCCACCGCTGCCAACCCCCCTGCCCAGGG